CCAATAATAAGAGAAAAATTGAATGCTAAGGGGTCCTGGGATGTTGTTAACTCCCACTCCCCCGTCCCAGGCAAGGATATATGATAATAAATATATTTAGTGTTCATAGGACCCATGCTAGGATGCAAAATTAGCATGGTACATCCTGCCGCTATATCCTGTACACTGAGTCACTTGACAATATGAACCTCTGAATGACCAGATATGACTTAGTCCGTAAAATAAAAAAAAAAAATAATAATAAGGCTAGCATTCTTTTTGTCAAGAGGTCTTTAAACTTATGGCACCTGAGGTTCCTAGTTGGTCTCCCATACAAGTACTAGCCAGGCCCAAGTCTGGATAGCTTCTGAGATCTGACGAGATCAGGCATTTTCGGACTGGTATGGCCATTGATATTTTCATTCAAGTGCTCAGCAAGCTTGGTCTAGGAACATTATTGGTATTATAGTCATTATATAGCTATTTCCTTGGGAGAATTCAAGCATTAGCAATTTAGTGGTCCTCATCCGGTAATCATGAGAATAAATTTATATGATAAAAAATAATAATATAAAAAATAATAATAAATAGGAAAGAATAGTGATAATAGTAGTAATAGTAATAAGCAAAGAATATACCCATTGTGGAACAAACCGCGCTATATTTACAAATTTACAAGTGTATCAGGCCATAAGGCTCACTCAGAATAGATTAGTGCAGAGATCACCCGCCGAGTACCACTGCCTATATATAGGTCTGAGTCCCACATCTGGTATCAGTGATCTGCAATAAATGGTGTATATGAGAAACCTTCGTTAAGTCCCAAGGGTGACAGGGTTTTGAGCTTATAGATCCTGAAGCTCTCCCTTTGGAGTAGCTTCTTGTCTAAATCCCCCCCTCTTGGTCCCAAGGTAACCCTTTCAATACCACTAAATCTGATTCCTTCAGATGAGCCCCCATGATGTAGTTTCAGATGTTTAGAGATAGGGGTGTCGATTTGTCTTGTGGGGTTTACCGAATTGACATGTTCCCGTATCCTAAGTTTAAACGTCCTAAAGGTTTTTCCCACATACAGTTTTTTGCACGATCAGGAAAGTAAGTAGATAAGCCCTTTGGACTGACAGTTAAAGAAATTCTTTACTTTGAATTCCTGTGTGCCGAGGGAGTCTGGGAATGTTTTGGAGGGTCTACGTATAAACCTACATGCCTTACATTTCCCACATTGATAGGTCCCTAAGACTGGGGACTTCAGCCATGATGTTTTCTGGGGTGTAATCTTGAGATGGCTAGGGACCAACATGTCCTTGATGTTGCGTCCCCTTCTTGCTGTTACTGAAGCCTTATGTGTGATTACCTTCCGTAAGTGTGGGTCTTGTTGTAAAAGGGGCCAGAATCTGTCCAAGATTTGCATCATTTGATGCCAGCCGGCATCAAAATTCCCTATACATCTTATGACTGCCTGTGATGGCTCTGGATTATGTTCGATTAGAAGGTCTTTCCGATCTGACAGTAAGGCCCGTTTATAAGCGTGCTTTAAGCATCTATTCGGGTACCCCTTTTGTTTGAATTGGAGTTGTAAGGTCTTAGCCTTTAGTTTAAAATCATCCAATGTAGAGCAATTGCGTCTAAGGCGCAAGTATTGTCCAGTTGGAATCCCTTTCTTTAGGGAAGGGGGATGATGGCTAGACCAATTCAGCAAGTTATTAGTTGCCGTTGGTTTACGGAACAGAGTTGAGATGAGGGACCCTTCTTCTGTCAGCGAGATGGTGAGGTCCAGAAAATTAATTCTATTGCCACCAATTTCACTAGTCAGTTTGAGATTAATATTGTTGGAGTTAAGAGTGTGGACGAAGTCCAAAAACAGTTCCGAGGTATCTGTCCAAATGATAAACACGTCATCGATGTATCTTTTCCAGATTTTTATATGCTTTGTATATTTTACCATATGATCCGTGAATACCATTTGAGACTCCCACCACCCCAGGTGGAGGTTGGCATATGATGGGGCACAAGCCGTCCCCATCGCAGTCCCTCTCACCTGGTGATAATACTTTCCCTGAAAGGTAAAGTGATTGTGTGTTAAGATAAATTGCATCAGATCTTGGACGAATTTATTGTGTCTTAGTGATATTACTGGTTTACTGTCCAAGCTAGCTTTCAGGTGTTCTAGTCCAACTTCATGTGGAATCGAGCTGTACAGGCTCTCCACATCAAGGCTACATAAAATAGCGTGACCACTAATTTTTGTTCCTTCGATGATACTTAATGTGTGTTTCGTGTCTTTAAGATATGAAGGAAGTTGAGTGACTAGTTTCCTCAGGATCTGATCCACATAAAGACTGATGTTTTGAGTCAGATTACCTCTACCAGAGACTATGGGTCTCCCATTTAGTACCGGTTGTTGTTTGTGTACCTTTGGGAGTGCATAGAAGGTGGCAGTGGCGGGATTCTTGACAAACATAAAATTATATTCATCCCTGGAAATTAGAAGTTGAGATAAAGCTGTATCAAGGATTATTTTCAACTCTGCCAAGTATTTTTTAGTGGGGTCACCCTTTAGAACTTCATACGTATTGCTATCCCCAATTAGTCTTTGTACCATTGAGACATAATCAGGTTTGTTTAGAATGACTGTATTGCCCCCTTTATCGAAGGGTTTAAAGATAACCTCATCCAGTTCTTTAAGTTTTTTAAGAGAGATATTTTCTTGAGGAGAGATGTTGCTATTAGGTTGGATTGGAAGGTCTTTTAAGTTGATTTTTTCAATTTCATTGCATGTCATCTCCACAAATAGGTCTATATATTTAAAATCCACTAGGTGTGGAGTGAACATGCTTTTCTTTTTTAGATGTGTAAAGGGGGGATATCTTACTTCGGATTCGTCATTCGCAATAAGGAGGTCAACCAGCGTATCAAGTGCACCCATATCTGAGACTTGTAAACCAAGATCTTTTGCCCTTTTTTCCTCTTTCATATAGTGAAATTTATGCAGAGCCAGTTTTCTAGCAAACAGGTGTATGTCCTTTGTCCAGCTAAACTTATCGAAGTCTGAGACTGGGACAAAGGACATACCCCGCTGTAAAACCTGCAACTCTGCTTGAGTCGGAGTGTATGAGGACAAATTGATGATCTGGTTATTTACAGTTGTCTTATCTAATATCTTTTTCTTCCCCTGAAGGGTTGGGGTGGTCTGCCTCTGTACCTTGTCCGTGGGGCTGTACTTTCTTCCATATTGGGTTGGCCTAAAAAAGAGACCCCTCTTTTTAATATACTTTTTGAATTACGTTCTGATGAGGCAGACGTACTCGCTTTAGAGGAATCTGAGTCTGAACCACTCGTCTCATATTCTGACGTTGATATTGGTTCAGAGAAACTCCTTCTTGGATTCCTATTCTTTCTATAAACATTACCACTTTTAAAGTCATTATTGTCTCTGATGAATTTGGAATGTTTCCGAATCTTAATATTTTGTTGGAATCTATCCAAATTGCTCTTAAGTTTTGTCTCTAGTGCTTCAAAGTTAGGTTCCCCTTTAAAAGCTGCAATTCTGTCTATCTGCTCATCCACTTCTTTATTAACCCTTTCCAGTCTTTTAGTTTCAAATTTACAAAGGATTTCCATAAATCTCTTTGAACATGTGCCTGCAGCTTCCTCCCACTCTTTTGTAAATTCATCCTCCTCAATATGGGAAGCTGGTATGTTCTGTACCCTTAATCCCCTCGGAATTAGATCTTTTTTAAGGTAATTGTCCAGGGATGCAATTTCCCACCCTGTTTTAATTTGTTGCTGAAATAAATTAGTCAAACGGTTAAACGATGAGATGATATTGTCACTATCTGTAAGGCTTGTAAGATCCTGTTCTGAAAAGACTTTATCCGTATCTTTACACCAGACGTCTCTTTTTGACTTATCGAATAGAAAACTGGCCATGATACACAAACTGGTACTATGGTATTAAAACCAAATTATTTACAAAAAAGAGAGAGCAAGGAACACAACGTTCCAAGTCCCTGTATAGCCGCCGCACCCACCACCTCAAAACCTCCCCAAAAGGGGGGCAGTGGCTGCAGGGGTCACGCAGAGACAAACGTACCAGTATGAGACTCCAGCTATCTCAGAGGGGCTTAACCCCAAATATAAACACAAGAACAAAGAAATATGCAGACCGTCTCAATTATATGAATGAAACTTACTGCATTGACTGGAAAAATATATCTATGTATAGCGCGATGTTCCAAATATAGAACCTGGCTATTAGAAATAATATGGTCAGAGACCCTAATTAAACAAAGTATATACAAGTGAACCTACAATCCTATGCCAGCCCAGGGTAGTATAGATCAAGAGGTAGTAAAAAGATAACCTCACTCCCCCTTATAATTAAGCTTTATTGTGATCTGCTATAGGGATAGGAGTATACAGTAGCTAAGTCTCTATAATCCATGCATCCTAGGAAGTATCCTGGTCACACTAGAAACATATTAAGAAAAACAGAGAGAGATAAGGACTGAAAATAGAAGTAAACAAATCAGTCAAAAACAGACTGATAATTAGCATTAATAAAGCCTCTCTCCCTGTAAAGCTAGCTAGATAGGCATAGGAAAGAAAAGAAGAAAACGATATAAAATAAAGTTAAATTAAATGGTGATCATGGTGCTCCAAACACCAGTGCCCAGTGCAGAAAAAACGCCCAACGTACGTTTCGGTGCAGAGAGATGCACCTTCGTCAGAGGCCAACAGATAACTGAAGAGAAGCCTCTTAAATACCCCAATTGCCAGGAAGCATGATTACCTTGTAGCCAATGGAGTGTGGGGGTGTATACCTCCCCAGCTGCCTCTAATATCCTGGCTATTCCTCTGTGATTGCTAATGCTCATTCATCTGTATGAAGGGGAAATCCCTCAGCCGGTCACGTGACCTGTGATGTCATGCGTCACGTGACGTATCTGGCATTCTCCTAATGGGGCGTGTCTCATTCATCATAGTGCTGCAGTACTGCCCATCCGAGCCTCTCCTGTCCATCATCCTCACATGGGTTGATCCCCTGTGACAGATGGGCGGAGCTAGGTATTCTCTGTGTATGGAGAAACCGAAATTGTCCAAATTAAGGCTTAAATTGATAAGCTGCATATTGATAATGTATCATTCCAAAGTACCAATGTGTACTATATAGGATGTACAGAATCAGCTGAAAATATAAGGCAGTGCTGATTACATATTATTCTAATACTGAATCTATTAAAGATGTAGTAAAGAATATGAGAGGACACCCCAATAATAAGAGAAAAATTGAATGCTAAGGGGTCCTGGGATGTTGTTAACTCCCACTCCCCCGTCCCAGGCAAGGATATATGATAATAAATATATTTAGTGTTCATAGGACCCATGCTAGGATGCAAAATTAGCATGGTACATCCTGCCGCTATATCCTGTACACTGAGTCACTTGACAATATGAACCTCTGAATGACCAGATATGCGTTAGTCCGTAAAATAAAATAAAAAAATAATAATAAGGCTAGCATTCTTTTTGTCAAGAGGTCTTTAAACTTATGGCACCTGAGGTTCCTAGTTGGTCTCCCATACAAGTACTAGCCAGGCCCAAGTCTGGATAGCTTCTGAGATCTGACGAGATCAGGCATTTTCAGACTGGTATGGCCAGTCTAACAATCACTTTACCTTTCAGGGAAAGTATTATCACCAGGTGAGAGGGACTGCGATGGGGACGGCTTGTGCCCCATCATATGCCAACCTCCACCTGGGGTGGTGGGAGTCTCAAATGGTATTCACGGATCATATGGTAAAATATACAAAGCATATAAAAATCTGGAAAAGATACATTGATGACGTGTTTATCATTTGGACAGATACCTCGGAACTGTTTTTGGACTTCGTCCACACTCTCAACTCCAACAATATTAATCTCAAACTGACTAGTGAAATTGGTGGCAATAGAATTAATTTTCTGGACCTCACCATCTCGCTGACAGAAGAAGGGTGCCTCATCTCAACTCTGTTCCGTAAACCAACGGCAACTAATAACTTGCTGAATTGGTCTAGCCATCATCCCCCTTCCCTAAAGAAAGGGATTCCAACTGGACAATACTTGCGCCTTAGACGCAATTGCTCTACATTGGATGATTTTAAACTAAAGGCTAAGACCTTACAACTCCAATTCAAACAAAAGGGGTACCCGAATAGATGCTTAAAGCACGCTTATAAACGGGCCTTACTGTCAGATCGGAAAGACCTTCTAATCGAACATAACCCAGAGCCATCACAGGCAGTCATAAGATGTATAGGGAATTTTGATGCCGGCTGGCATCAAATGATGCAAATCTTGGACAGATTCTGGCCCCTTTTACAACAAGACCCACACTTACGGAAGGTAATCACACATAAGGCTTCAGTAACAGCAAGAAGGGGATGCAACATCAAGGACATGTTGGTCCCTAGCCATCTCAAGACTACACCCCAGAAAACATCATGGCTGAAGTCCCCAGTCTTAGGGACCTATCAATGTGGGAAATGTAAGGCATGTAGGTTTATACGTAGACCCTCCAAAACATTCCCAGACTCCCTCGGCACACAGGAATTCAAAGTAAAGAATTTCTTTAACTGTCAGTCCAAAGGGCTTATCTACTTACTTTCCTGTTCGTGCAAAAAACTGTATGTGGGAAAAACCTTTAGGACGTTTAAACTTAGGATACGGGAACATGTCAATTCGGTAAACCCCACAAGACAAATCGACACCCCTATCTCTAAACATCTGAAACTACATCATGGGGGCTCATCTGAAGGAATCAGATTTAGTGGTATTGAAAGGGTTACCTTGGGACCAAGAGGGGGGGATTTAGACAAGAAGCTACTCCAAAGGGAGAGCTTCTGGATCTATAAGCTCAAAACCCTGTCACCCTTGGGACTTAACGAAGGTTTCTCATATACACCATTTATTGCAGATCACTGATACCAGATGTGGGACTCAGACCTATATACGGGCAGTGGTACTCGGCGGGTGATCTCTGCACTAATCTATTCTGAGTGAGCCTTATGGCCTGATACACTTGTAAATTTGTAAATATAGCGCGGTTTGTTCCACAATGGGTATATTCTTTGCTTATTACTATTACTACTATTATCACTATTCTTTTCTATTTATTATTATTTTTTATATTATTATTATTTTTTATCATATAAATTTATTCTCATGATTACCGGATGAGGACCACTAAATTGCTAATGCTTGAATTCTCCCAAGGAAATAGCTATATAATGACTTTAATACCAATAATGTTCCTAGACCAAGCTTGCTGAGCACTTGAATGAAAATATCAATGGCCATACCAGTCTGAAAATGCCTGATCTCGTCAGATCTCAGAAGCTATCCAGACTTGGGCCTGGCTAGTACTTGTATGGGAGACCAACTAGGAACCTCAGGTGCCATAAGTTTAAAGACCTCTTGACAAAAAGAATGCTAGCCTTATTATTATTTTTTTATTTTTTTATTTTACGGACTAAGTCATATCTGGTCATTCAGAGGTTCATATTGTCAAGTGACTCAGTGTACAGGATATAGCGGCAGGATGTACCATGCTAATTTTGCATCCTAGCATGGGTCCTATGAACACTAAATATATTTATTATCATATATCCTTGCCTGGGACGGGGGAGTGGGAGTTAACAACATCCCAGGACCCCTTATCATTCAATTTTTCTCTTATTATTGGGGTGTCCTCTCATATTCTTTACTACATCTTTAATAGATTCAGTATTAGAATAATATGTAATCAGCACTGCCTTATATTTTCAGCTGATTCTGTACATCCTATATAGTACACATTGGTACTTTGGAATGATACATTATCAATATGCAGCTTATCAATTTAAGCCTTAATTTGGACAATTTCGGTTTCTCCATACACAGAGAATACCTAGCTCCGCCCATCTGTCACAGGGGATCAACCCATGTGAGGATGATGGACAGGAGAGGCTCGGATGGGCGGTACTGCAGCACTATGATGAATGAGACACGCCCGTTAGGAGAATGCCGGATACGTCACGTGACGCATGACATCACAGGTCACGTGACCGGCTGAGGGATTTCCCCTTCATACAGATGAATGAGCATTAGCAATCACAGAGGAATAGCCAGGATATTAGAGGCAGCTGGGGAGGTATACACCCCCACACTCCATTGGCTACAAGGTAATCATGCTTCCTGGCAATTGGGGTATTTAAGAGTCTTCTCTTCAGTTATCTGTTGGCCCCTGACGAAGGTGCATCTCTCTGCACCGAAACGTACGTTGGGCGTTTTTTCTGCACTGGGCACTGGTGTTTGGAGCACCATGATCACCATTTAATTTAACTTTATTTTATATCGTTTTCTTCTTTTCTTTCCTA